AGAAGCAAAGAAGGCAGCATGGCAAAAGGTAATTGAAACAGTGGACAATTATATTTGGGGTAACGGTTATCAAATCCTTAGCGGAAAACTGAAACCTTTCTCAACTATAGGTCTATCGGACGAACAAAAACTAGTAATAGCTAAGGAACTATTTCCGACCCATACAATCGTGGAACGGGAAAAGTTACGAGTGAACAGAAATGACAAACCCTTATTCACAATAGCGGAACTAATAGAGGCGAAAGAGAGAGTCAAAGAACGAAAGTTGTTCTGGGAGACCAAGTCCAAAAATGTCTCGTCCTTTTGAATAACATTCTCGTGGAAGGTGTATTTCCTAAAGAATAGAAACTGGCAAGGTTAAAACTAATCGAGAAAAATAAGCCTGGACAACAAGAACATATATACAGACCAATATACCTACAAAATGTTATGGAGAAATTTTAGAACAACTCATTGCCAAGAGACTTACAAAAGATATAGAATGAACGGGAGACTTATGCGACGAACAATACGCCTTTCGCGAAGGAAGATCAACCACCGATGCCCTAGAAACCTAAAAAGAGTACAAAAAATCGATAATGAAGCAAATGAGAGAGTAGGAAGGAAAATATGCATCTTAATAATACTAGATGTCCAGAATGCCTTAAACTCGGCGACCTGGAAAGGAATCCTCGATGACCTCAGGCGTAGAGGAATCGCGGGATATCTATACAACATGATAGCCACTTACTTAGAAGGCAGAAGCCTAATGGTAGGAGTAAACAGCAAAATAGACGTAAAGTGTGGAGTCCCATAAGGATCTGTTATAGGACCCATCCTATGGCACACGTATTACGACGATATTCTGAAATTACCTGTTCCGCGAGGCTATGCAGACGACTTAGGAATAGTTGTAGTGGCTAAAAACGAAGATGAGTTAAAAGATAAGGCTCACCAAGTGATCCAAACAATTGTAGACAGGCTGAGAGAAAATAAACTACGTGTTTCACCTAAAAAGACGGAGGTAGTTATGGTGGTAAAACAATAAAATCGATTAAAATCAAAGTACAAGACGAAGTGATTGAAAGCCAATAGAGTGTCAAATGCCTTTTACTTGGACAGAAACTTGAGAATGGGGCAGCACATAAGGAAAACGGCCAAAAAGGCTAGCAAAACATTAGAAAATATCAGTAGAATAATGCCAAATATAGGTGGACCACGAGAGGACAGTAAGATAATCATTTGTCATGTACAGTTGTGCAATCCGTAATGCTTTATGGAGCTAGTATATGAGAAAAGGCCATCAAGAAAGAAATTTACCAAAAAATACTTTTTTCTACACCCACATGGATTATTAGCTTATCTACGCACAGATTACAAAACGAAAAAGTATGCTATTGCCTTTAACTGAACGAATATATTTCATATCCATATGCAACAAAATAGCCAAAATGAGAGCAGAAGATGCTTCAATTGCGGAAGAATCGGACACTTTTCAAAGAACCTGTCGAAGCAGGCTCGTTCTATTAATCGAGCATCGGAGAATGATGCCAGAAATTCACATAAATCAACCTCCTGAAGCCCGTTACTAAGTCCAACAAGAAATAATTACAGCGGATATGCCTCCCGGATAAGCCGGTTACCCACACCAGCCGGCTTTCTAGCAATAACCAGGGAAACGAATAAAGGTCGACATTACGGGGCAGGCGTCGGCTGTAACAGAGGGACCCAAAATTTGCACACAAACCTTAAATAAAAATGAACAAAATCTATTGGTCAAGGGGTATATCGATAACCAAGAAGGCACCTTCGTCCTTGATACTGGTGCAACCAAGTCTTTTATTCAAACCGGGATCCTGCATCGAAAACCACGACCAACTCGAAGAAGTTCAGTTCTGGAAACAGCTACAGGGAACACTACTCGTGTTCTAGGCGAGATATCAGCAACCATATAGATTGGTAACACTCTGGTAGAACACTTTATTTCTGGTGGCCGATATTAGTGTCACCTATGCAAAATAAGTTTATCTTCGACCTTCAAAACAAGATCTTGGTAATTGAAAACGAGGAAATAGTCCTAAATTCGGAAAAAAGACTCAAGATAAAGGTCTTAGTAGAAGAAGACACAGAAGTACCCCAAAATTTTTAAGTTGTCGTCGCGGCGAAATTTAGCTAGAAATCACACGGCTTACATGTGGGCATTGTGGAAAGTGAATAATAATGGAAATTGTTCTGAAAAGCCTAACCTAGAAAACTTGTCTATTATATCTCTATCACATAATGTACATAATATACTGTTATTGAATAAAACACAATTTTACTTTTTGACTTAAATAATATTCGCTTACAAATTATAATTTCCTTCTTGTAATAGAAGTAATTTTAGTAATCCCAGCATTCACAATAACACAAAGTTTTCAAACCTACGCTCTACGCTGTGCTTAATGCATATGTAAATAAAGACGTGTTAAACACAAGTCTTACATCAAAAAGCAACTAATTTCTGTACTAAACTATTACAAACTCTAAAATGTGACTGCTAATTTCGTATACCTACGCTGTGAATTTTCACCAGAAAATTCAACTCCAACCACATTCAATTAAACTTACGCTAAGTAAATAAATATTACATTTGACGAATCTACATCGTCAAATTGGTTTTAAATCAATATCTAATTTTAGACAGGTTTCCATTAGTTTAAATTTAGCTAACACTAATGGTTCGGTCTATTTATAGAAAATTGTACTTATTTCCGTACCTAATTTTAAAAATAGGTTTTGAACTTGAGTAATTCTCAAAAAAAAAATAACGTCACCATGCACTAATTTTAGATATGGTTAATAATTTAAAACGGGGTAATAAACTTATTGATTTATACGTTTAAATATATATTTTGAAAAACACAATAAAAATTAATAATGTCTATAATTTGTGTTTCAGAATTTTTCTTAAAATTGAATAACAACATCAAAAATGAATTTATTCGTTAATTAGCAGCACATTTCTGAAAGGCCTAACTAAATTCAAATGATCATAGCTAAATATAAATTTAGGTATGGAGTGATTTATTTTATTTTGAAACATTTAGCCCAGAGATTGATCACACTCAACGTTTACAAACGTCCAGTGCTTAATATCAAATTCCTCGTTCAAAGTGAGGTGAACAGGTGCAGCCATTTGTTTTTCAACTAAAACTAAAACGAAAAATTCTAAATTCGGCTCTGTAAGTCACAGGTGTGATGTCACTGTTTTTGCGATTCGTTTATGTATATGATTGTGCCGATGACTATTCCAGTCAGATGTTTTGGACCAAAATTAGATGATTGTGAAAACAGTGCTGGTAGCCAAGAATTCGTAACCAGTGGAGAAATCGATAAATTTAGACTTTGCTAAGATAGATACTAGTTTTTTTTTAAACGCTTGTCATATTATGTGACTATATTTTGATTTTTTTTTTTATCCACTATAAAACAGTATCATGACTGACAGACAACGCATTGTCTAAACCGGTGGACCTAGAGATTTTAAATTTGGAGTAATCTAGGGGTGCCTTTTATGGCACTAATGGATAAACCCAATAGTGAAGAATAAATACTTTTGGGAAGTTTTGTCATGGTTTTTCTTCTAATTTAAGGAAAATATATTTGAAAAAAAATTATGTTTTGATTACGTATTTTTATTTATGGCGGTTCAGACAAGTGGCTTTTCAAAAATATTTTTATTGGTATTTTATTAAATTTCCACAGTATTTTTTATAAATTATTACCTTGTTATAAATTATTAAATAAAAATAATTTGTCACGATTTTCATATTTATTATAATGTCACTTCCCTGAAGTGACAAAATTTGGATCTCGATTTTGTATGACCAGAGGTAAAACGTAAAAACCCTCCATCGCAAAGAGCTTAACTTATACATTTAAATAGAATTTCATAGTTTTAGTTGTATAATTTCATACTTGTATTTGCTATTTTTGATATTAATTCTCAGTAGGTACCTACTACTACTACTCAGTGGCGACTTGTGCTAAGGGGTCAAAGGGCCTTGGCATTGGCGCAAAATTTGTAAATATTTCGGTCGCTAAAAATATTTCTTTTCATATTAATTACAATAATTATTACATTTGTGGGATCAAATTAAAGTCAAAAGATACATTAGATAAATTGTTTATGATTATTTAATTTGATTCCGTTGAAAAAGCTTGCGTCATATTATTCCTAAACACAACAAATTTAATAACTCAAGCAACTGACTGTCCGCCGTCTATCCGAGCATATCGACCAGTGGCCCGGCTGCTTACATATCAATCAATTGTAAAAGTTTACTAAAGATCACGCCATTCGCCTGTAGAAAGCGCTTCTTATACATTCAAACGGGGCCACGTTTCAAGCGGCTCGGAATGAATAGTTAGAAAAGTACTGTTTCAATCGTGTGTTCGGCGAGTTTGGCGTATTGCTTTTGACATTTTATGAATACTGAATTTTTGTTTGCTAGGTAGTTAGTTAGAATAATTGAGTTTTTAAAGTATAATAAATTAAAAATCGTCCTAGAGTCCGAAACAAAATAAATAAAATAAGCAATCAGTTACTGAAACCTTTTTTACGCACTCGCTCGAGGAAAAAATCCAAATAAAGGAACTTGGGAGACCTCTTCCCGATTTGCAAATAACAAAAACTCTTCCGCCTCAAGTTCGTCAAACTTCAAAGGCCGGATAAGAAAGTTTAACCGGAATTTATACTTGTGATGAAAAAACGCATTTTTTTGTTTCGTGTGTGTTTTGTTCGGGTGCCATTCTTCATGGACGAAGCATGGTGTAACTAATTTGGTACACATTTATGAGAAAATTAAAACACATGAAAACAGTAAGACCCATGTAAATAATATTTTTAGTTATTCTTTGCTTGGAAAATCAAATATACTGACCTAATTAAATTCGGCTTATAGACAAAATATTATTACTCACAATAAACACGTTGATATAAACAGATATATTTTAAACATCATTATCAACTATATTAGATTTTGTGATGCATTAGAATTAGCATTGCGCGGACATGATGAAACCGAAGAATCCAAAAATAAAGGAGTGTTCCGAGAATTGATAGATTTTAGTTCTGAATTAGATGCAGATTTAAAGGAACATTTCAACAAAGCAACAGTAGTTAAAGAGACCACTAAGACCATACAGAACGAACTATTGGACTGCATGCTTGGCGTTTACCATGAAGAAGTGGCTAAAGAAATAAGAAAAACGAATTATGTAGCTATAATTGCTGACGAAACTACCGATGTTGCTAACGAATTTCAATTGCTCATTATTCTACGATACATTGACTCAAGTAAACCAGTAGAATGATTTTGGAAATTTGTAAATCCTCCCGGACCCAATGCCATTTCAATAGCAAATTGCATTTTAAATGAAATTAATCCATTAAATAATGACACACCAAATAAGTTTATCGCGCAGAGTTACGACGGAGCTTCAGTCATGAGCGGAGGTATGAATAGGGTACAAAAAATAATTAAAGATAAATATTATTTAGCAAATTATGTTCATTGCTATGCACATCGGATTAACCTTATAATGAGCAGTGCAGGTTCATAGACGATTACCACGCTCATCACAAACGAGATGGAATTTCCAACCACGGGGAGTTAATACAGTTTATGAATACTGAAATAAACTAATACACGTTATGGATATTTTAGAGAACGACAAAGATATTAAATTAAATTCTACGATTGAGCAAGCTGGTGCTTGTAAACTTAGATTACAGGACAGAGATTTCATATTTTGGTTAACAGTTTTTCAAAAAGTCATGCCACATGTCAAAATAATTTTTAAGCAACTGCAGACGATTAATACCGACCCTATTAAGGCTAAACAATTTCTAAAAAACTTTGAAAATGCAATGCAAAAAATTCGTAATGAAATGATAAAATTATTGACAAAACAGACTCGGAGCTTTTAGAAACCTAAGATGAACTTGTTCCTCAGAAAAGGTGGCGTTACCCTCGTTCCGATCTATCTGTTTCAACAAATAGAAAAATAGAAGCCTTGGAAGTTTTCGATTGTATTATACAACAGATTAGGACACGATTCACTTTCACAGGACATCTGATAGCTACCGCATTATTCATAAAAGAACATTTTATCGAATACCAAAAAAACTTTCCTGATCAATTGCTCTCTGATACAGTTAACGCATATCAATTTTTAGAAAAAAATCGTCTAAAACAGAACTGCAAGTACTTTACGAAAGAGAAGAGTTGCAAACCATTTCTGGGGCCCTTCGTCTGTTATCATTAGTTTCGAAGGAAGATATGTAGTACACTTTTCAAGAAACTATTAAATTACTGGAAAAATTTAGTGTCAACATCCGAAGCTGAAAGATGTTTTTCTAAGTTAAAGAGGATAACATTTTTTTTACGCAACTCATAGAAAGAAGAAAGACTAAATGCACTAGGAATGTTATCAGCTGAAAAAGTGTTTCTAAATAACATTGACGACTTTAATAGACGAGTGATTGACCTTTTCGCTAATAAAACAGAACGAAGACTAGACTTCAAATATCGTTCAATGTAAAATATTCTTTATTTTACTGTATAGGTTTGGAATGCAATAAATTACTATTCAAAGCTAAATTCTGGTAAGATTTTTATGTTATTTATTATTTTGTAAAAATGATAATTGAGCACGTTAATATACTTTAAAATATTACCCAAGATATGCTTTTTAACGACTTCGAGTCAAAATCTGGGCACCCGAAAATGTTAATCCGTAGCTCCACCTAAGTTCTAAGGCACGACCCGTCACTACTACTACTACTTACAGTTTTTTGGGTTATTATTTGTTTTGTAAATATGGATAGTTATTTTCAACTTAGGTATTTTTTCGTGCTAATTGCATTTATTTAAAATACTTGTGGAAATTTTATTGATTGAGAGGCAGGTTCTCCATCAGACTATGGTTCTTATTGAATGAGTATACTCTCTCTCACTGGGTCCATTGTACATCCTCCTAAATTGATAGGCATCTCTTAGCTCGTTAGCCAGCCTACAAATTTGATGTAGTTGACAACGTCGCCAGGATATGATTCTCTTATATCATCCGGTGTTAGCCAAGACTCACCGAATACAAATCATAGAGAATATGCTCGATGGTCTCAGCTTCTTGTTCTCGTCCTCTGCAGATTGCGGATACTGGCAGCCCCATGCTATGGAGATGCTCCCGTGCACGGTTGCTAATCTAGTATAATAATTGTACTAATTAAAGGATCTAGTAATTTACTATACTTGAATCTAATCCTAGATAACAAACTTACTTGAAACCAACACTTACAAAAAGTGACCAAGAAATGTAAAATATCTCTCATTGTGGGAAGAGAGGTATTTGTGAAAACATTTGGATTAAAACCGTAAATGGTCTACTGGCCATATTCGGCATTAACAAGACCCATGGTAACTTATGTAGCGATTGTTTGGTGGACAAAAGTAAACCAGAATACAGCCCTCAATACTCTATCAGGAGTACAGAGACTGGTGCGCCTTTATATAACAGGAATTCTGATAAGTATATCGACAGCCTACTATGCAAATTATTCTAAATCTTCCACCCTAGTCATAAAGGGGAACAGTACATAATGAAGTAGAGAAATCCTTACTTAGCGGTCTCGTATGGTATACGGATGGATCTAAAACTAACAAAGGAACAGACTCTGACGTTCATGGAGTTAAACCCAAATTCGACATAATTGTCTTACTGGGAAAAAATACCACTGTATTTTAGGCTGAAATAAATGTAATCGAATTGTGTTTACGAGAGAATTTAAGAAGGAAGTACAAAAACAATCTTAATTCTCTCCCATAGTCAAGCAGTATTAAAGGCTTTGGAATACTAAATGATCTGGCAACCCACAATAAGATCAAACTAGCGCAGGTACCATGGCATAAAGGTATCCAAGTACATGAGAAGGCTGATGAACTCGCCTGAGAAGGATCAGAACTACCATTCACAGGACCCAAACCTGTATTTAGAATAAGCAAAACCTCTGCTCCACAGGCAGTGAACAGGTGGATAACTACAAAATACCAAATTTACTGGCACAGAATAAGTTAACTCATGCAAAAAGGACCAAACATAGGCATGTCTGCTGAGGTACTGTAGCTCGCAAGGCCTCAGATATTCACAGATATAGGATTACTAACGGGACACTGCTTACTAAAACATTCATGTGATGAGATCACACAATAATCACTTTGTAAATGTGTAGACGCTTCATAAAAGAGGAAGAAACCTCATAGCATGTAAATACAAAGCTCTTACTAGACACCGTTTCCCTCTTTTCGGCCTAGAACCGGATAGGATGCTCCAAGAATACATAGTAAAACTGACCAAAGATACAGGACTATTCCAAAGATAGTACCTGAATACGAGAAAGCAGGGGAATACAATAGACCCAAGAGGCAGTGTTCTGGGCCCAATTTAACCTTACCTGTCTATAAGCGAAAAAGATAAGGAAAAAGTACACTTAAAGCTAAATCTAGTACTTTTACCTCGACGTGCAGCGTGTGCTTCCAGTTGACGTGTATATTATTTACAGGGTACGATTATCTTCTTCATACACAAGCTTGTCTATAACAGAATAACTTTCCTTTGCTCTTTAACGAATCAGACCGTTACTGCTATAAAGCTAATAAAATTCTTTCGTAAAAAATCTGGTACATATTTATGGAATCTAGTACATTTTTATGTAATCTAGTACATTATCATGGAATGTAGTATATTTTTTTGGAATCTAGTACATTTTTATGGAGTCTAGTATGTAACAAAAAATATTCTGGCAACAATTCTTGAGTACTTGGTAAAGTCAGAATATCTATGATCAGGCGCAGATTATGTCTAGTGATAAGTCAAGCATTTGTTTGCTGTGGCGTTGTCAGGGTAACTTAAAAGCTGCTTTGCAGATCTACAGCTTCTAATTACTATCTCTGGGTAAATTTTAAGGTGAGTAGCGCTTGCAGCCCATTTTATGTTTAGGTTTATGGATCTGTAGCATTATTCCACATTCTGAGCCTGCTTATTTCGAGCTTTCTTTTTGTTTATCAATGGAAACCACAAAATGCATAATGCTGTTCGAGAGCAGATCATTAGATATGTTGTAGATAACTGGATAATAATATAATTTTCTATTATGTAGTGTGACGGAAATAGTTGTAACTGCGTCACAACATCCGAACATAATACTGTTATGATAAAGGTTCGGTAGTTTATATGAGTTGGAAGCTGTTGAGCGAATCTTCCCATTCGTTTTTAAAATCTGTCGAACTGGTACGCCTTATGTAAAAATAGCAACTGAAGATGGACCTGAAGCCTTCATCTTCATCATACCAAAGCTTAGAACAGATGGCTTCAAATCTAACAAAGAAGAACGAAAGACGAAAGACTCGATACACATATAAAACCCGACGAAACATCATTTAGGTATGATGTTTCCAACCAATCGAGTTGCCCTTCTATAAAAAGAAAAAAATACAGCAACATCAACGTCTTCCAATAAAAATCAGTATTTATAATACTTCATCATATTAGCGGGCCTAGGCTAGTATTAAATAAAATTGATAATGGAACTGCAGATTAATTTATAATAACTGATAACATTCTGTTCCAAAACAATATTTATAATACGTCTCTGTATAAAGTTGTGATACTCTAACCTAAATAATACCATTCTAGGACTCGCTGATCATCATGATGACGTAGAAATCGTCGATCGCTGCCAAAAAACGATCGCAGGCTTCCCCAACTTCTCCCACGTATCCCTACTATAGGAAGGAAACAAAACACAATTTTAACTAACTCACTAATATCTCGGAAGAACAATTTCACTCTCTGTTATCGGCGCAAAAATAAAACCAAACCTCCTGAGTGGGACGAGTCAGTGTACGAAACGCGGGGGCACACACATACACAACAAAAAATAAAACTGACAACCGATTCAAGATTCAAGGTGGTTAAGTGTTTTGATATGTTTTGTGATTTGATTAATAAACAAAGTGTGTTTAAGTAACGTTTCAATAACGCGTCAATCAAATTTCGGTTCGGAACTCTACGGTAAGTAATTTTGTAGCCAATTTAAATGAGCGGCTTGCGGTACGGATTTACCACCTGTTATTTTTTTTTTAATTTTATTATCAAACACTATAATTTTTATTTATTTGTGGTTTTGTAGTCTTATACAGTGCGCCCCAAATATTTGGTATACATTTATTTTAAGTATGATTATGAACTTGTCGAAAACATTCTCAAAAACAAGATGATTTTTAATTTAAAACTTACATTTTTTGGCACACAAA